GAGGTGTGATTCAGTCATCAAAGTAATTAAGTGAAGCCAGTGTCTTTGTGCACAAACAATTTACGCACACGGTAGTATTCCTGTTTGGCTGTTGGATTAAAACCTCCTATCCCCAGGTTTAGTGATTTTAATGTTTTCAGACAAGTTAACAGATAGCATGTTTACCAATAATGAGCTGTGAAAAGGCTAAATGAGAATAAGAATAAGTTGGATTACCACACACTGATACATTAGTTTTACACCAATGTGGTCTGAGTTGTTAAACCTGTGAGATTTAAGAAGCGTGTTCAAAATCCTTAGGATAATTTGCCATTAAGTCTAAAACAAGGCTTACTGTCTACATGAACATGAACATCTGAAATTTTACGATAATCCAACTAGTAGATAATTGTGCCGGCTGGTAGCACAAGAGGTGGTGGATCACCAAAGTCAGTAGTATTGATTCCCTGTGGACCTGGAATGTCTGTACAAATATTTATGGGAATCCATATAATAGTTATTCTGGACCAAAGTGGTAGACCCACTATTAACACTGCCATCCCTACAGCCACTTGTAAAAAGCAATAAATAATTAATTTATGATACAAGGTTTTGACTTAAGACTAATTTACTTCAATTATCTTATAAAATGACAGCCAGAAATTCCCGAGCTTCAGGATGATCATTTGAGTTTTTCAAAGCTAGAGAAATACTGCACGCATGCTGTACCTGAAGCAAATGTTACATTGAAAAACATCCTTTTCCAACATGGACAAGCAACGGAGTGAAGTGATAAATGAAAATAACAGAATGTGGTGTAAGTAAACTGTAATTTTATTTGATGATTCAGTATATTTCTCATGCATTAGATGAATTTCTGTATTTCGGATGCACAAAAGCCAAATGTAGTGGTCCCTGTTCCTCTTAACATTACTTTAATCATAAAATCCATCATTGATGTGAAAAGTTTGGCAGCTAAATTCTCCATCATTGTGGTAAACACACATTACATTTACATTTTCCTTAAAACAACTAAAAATAGATTATCAGCTGTTTTGTAAAGGTTCCAGAGCCCACATGGCATAATATATACGTGTAACATAATATGACCAGTGACTCCAATTATGATTTTTATTTTCACTCACTTTACTGTTTCCTGCACAGCATTGATAAAAATGCAGTGTCTCTCTCTAGCTGGTACATTTCAGAGGCAGAAAAAACATTTCAATTTGACTGAAATAATTTGTCCGTCAGAGAGCGCAGGCTGTCTGGTCCCTTGTATATTAACATTAATTATGTTTTCCTTGTGTCTGTCAACACAAGGAGATTGATGGCAGAGGGAGGAAGAAAAAAAATAGAATTACAGTCCGATGAAATCTAAGAATAGATTCAGAGGCCAGCATGTACATGTCATGTCGTCTCATATAACGTGAGCATGAATTTGTAATTGTTATTCATAGACAAAAAACATGTGGGAGGGAATATAAAAGAGATTCTATTGATACACAGCCTGGCAAATATATGTGTATTTCTGCACACAACACACAAGGCTTAATGATCATGGTGGTTGTTTGGGTGGTTGCTACATAGGAACAGATATGTTAAAAATGACAGTGTGTTAAATATAGCAGAGATTTTTTTTTTTCAAGTGATGTCTAAAGTGGAGAAGAAAGGACTGTTTCACTAAGTGATATTTTTTGTAAAAAAGTTTGCCCTAAAACCTCTGATGTAGGTAGGTATGGACACAAGAATCGACAGACAAAAAAAGAAGAACAAAATAGGACTCATTTCTTGCTCAGGGGTGACTGAGCGCTGTATAACAAGGAAACTAGACTCACTGATATTAGATCCTTTGTCTCTTGACAGGCAACAGACATAAGAGCACTGTGTGCATCTGTTATGATCAGCAGTACCGCTCTCCCTTTCCCTAGTGTTAGGGGAATAAATGGGTTTGCATGCAAAACATATGGTGAAAACTTAAAATCACAAGAAAATTTTCATAATTTAGAAGAGACAAGGCAAAAGAAGTGTGAGAATAAAAATGATAGGCTCCACCACTGAGGCTATTTATAATATTGATGCAGGTATGGATGTATCATGTAAAAGCTGAACAGCAGGTTATGAACAAGTTGCATACCAAAATCTTGAAATGTTCACAATGTATCAAAGGACACGAATGTGAATGAAATGAATGTGAGATGTGTCGCTCGTAGTGATGAACCTTCAGAATTATCACCTGAATGTGCAGCTTCCCTCGGCTTTATTTGTTGAGCTGTTGGGCCCACTACTTTACTGTTTTGGTTCACTGTTACTGCACTCATAGTGTCGTTTTTGGCCACAGCAGGCAGCTGTTTTCAGCAAAGAAAAAACCCACTGTACACCACCAGCTCAGCGCCAAACAGCAGACAGAGACAGTTAGCGACTAGCTGGTGAACATAGTTGAGCATTCAGCAGCTAATGAGCCAGGACATGAACATGCACAAGTCTTACTGTCTGCAAAAGTCTTTCCAGCTCTCACTTGTGTATTGTGGATCGTTATCGCTTGCCTCTATACTCATACATGTCTACGACTTGTTTAGGCAGATGTTTAGTGGCTCTTCCACTTTCTACGTTTGTTTTGCTGGCAGAAAATGAAAGTTTCCACTATGTTTAATATCAGAAGATATTTTAGGCCCACACAAAGTTTCCTTTGCTTGTTCTCTGCATTTTGACAGGCTTTAGATGTCCGTCATGCATGCGCTCTAACGTTTCCTGTCTCAATGACAGCTTAGTGTGATAAGGCCCTCACATTTTGACAATGAGTCTTTTACAGTGTTATAGTCTTTTGTACTGTGTGTAATGCTACTCAATCATTCAGGCCATCCGTCTTTGATCAGCTTCAGTACACTTTGCCCCTGTTCATCCCTCTGCGCAGAAGACTTTATAATGTCCACTTTGTGCTGTGATGTTGATTACTGTGAGTGACAGCCTTTACATGACAAGCATCATCTGTCCCTGCGGTGATGTCTCTGTCCTTTAATGGGCTGCGTGACAATGCATCAGCAATGACTAATGTTTTTTTCATACTCTGCTTTTAGTTGCTCCAGGAGCACCAGGAGTCACTGACATTGTACTGGTACAGTATCTAAATCCTTCTTCTTAATCAGTTGCACAGAAGGCTTGTGATAAGCTGGAATCTGTCCATGCCTACCAGGTACTTTGGGAACCTCTCAGGCCCATACTCCTGCTAAACATTCCTTCTTAATTTGAATGTACCTGATTTCTGCATTTGTTAGTCTCCTAGAACAATATGGAACTGGCTTCCAGCTTTCTCTGTGCATCTGTAGAAGGCTACCCCCTCACCCCTAACTATATCTGTAAAGCAATATTTATTCCAAAAAGCAGGCGCTTCAAGCAATACCTCCAAAAAGGCGTGATAAACGTTGTTAGGAGGCTGCTTTCTTCATGCAGTGTTATCTGCCAGAAACCTGAAAGTATGTCCAGAGATGTGAAGACTGTCGAACCAGACAGCTTGGCCAGTGACTCCTTTGTGGTTGGCAGTTGATATCTAACTCTTTTGATGTTCTTGTTCAGCTTTTTGCAGGACTACACATATCCTCTGTGTACCTGTTGGCTTCATGACTGGCATCATGGCTGCACAACAGTCGGGCGCACAACTCTCTCTATCACACCCTGCTCCTCCATTCCCTACAACTTGCCTTGAAATTTAGGAAGAAGTGGCATAGGAACTCTTCTGGCTGTGTAGCTCCCTCCGGAAGCTGGACCTTGACTGGGTCTGCATGCTGTTTTAGTGTCCAGAGTGGGCTTGCTCCCATCCATCACTTCTCTCCTTAGCTGGATACCCTGCATATTGAATGCTGTTGGTTGCTGCTGCTGCTGTATCTTCTGTACTTCTCTGATTGTCTTACCATCTGCACTTGGTTGGATATGATCTGTAGTCACCTGGACATCTCTTTCTCAGATGCTGACAACCAGTCTCTGTTATGTTAGGTCTCTTTTTATCTCCAATGTCAAAGTTCCCACTGAACTCATAGAGTGCTCTGATGAAGGACTCTGCTTTTCCCGCAGCTTCTATGCTAGTTGGTGGAGGCACACTCTCATGTATAGAGTTTATCTTTGGCAAGAAGTATTAATTGAATTCAGCTAGCACCATGTCGTAGTTGTCCTCTCTCTTCCTTTTTCCAAAGGTGAATGACTTGAAAATATTTTCGGCATTGTAGCCCATCGCATGAATAACTGTGCTAATCTGGACCTTGCTGTCTTTGTCTCCCAACTTTGCAGCCGGGTGAATCTCTGTGCCCAGGGAGGCCAGTCTCCAGGCCATTCAAAGTTTAAGTTTTCTGGTGGGATGAACTTTGCCATAGCATCGGGTGCATCTCTCAAAACACTTCTGACACTATGTCAAATAAACTGCTGGTCTACACAGATTATTTGCACAAAAACCTTGTGGTTGTGGTCAAAACTTGTGGTTTTATTAACTCCACAACAACTTCTCATGTTGTGTGCCCCTACAGTTGCTGCCTGCACTGCTCAGCAGCTGGCCTGGGGGCATGTTATTAGCCTACTGGTCATGTAGTGAGTATTTACGTGTCAGGCAGGGTCAACTCTGGAACTGAACTAGAGATACTTACGGGTAACGAGTTGGTCAATGCTGAATGACAAAAAATGTCAAACCATTTTCCAAATATTTTTAATAACATTTCTTCTTATTTTGCTGCATATAGGCATATTGGATGAAACATGTTGTGTTTGTTGATGTGTGTTACTTTGCACAATGATAAGGGTAATTTCTTCTCCTACATTACATTTTTTGTAATGATTTGCATATACATTTCAGACACGTTCTGTGTGTTTATCTAAACATGCTATGAAAGGACGTGTGAGTGAAATGTTCTTGTGTGCCTCCTTGTGGAGTACGTCAGCACTGGAGGAGGCACCAGAGGGCTGGGTCAGAGGGAGTTAGGAAACAGGAAAGAGGAGCGAACTATAAGAAGAGACAACCCAGAGGAGCGTCAAAACATTTAAACCACGGCCGAGAGAGGAGGAGAGGAGAGAGGCGAGGCGAAAGACACAGAGAGGAGGAGAGATAGGCTCCGCGGACAACTGCAACGTTCAGGATGAAGACTTAAATCGCGGTGATTTGTGTCTCAATCCAGCGTCAGCATTCTGTGAGGAAAGGTAAAGGTGCGTCCGGCGCGCCTCGGTGTCACCTGCGCGGAGAAATCCTGGATGAGCCCAAAGTATCAGCTTCAGCACTTGAGGAGAAGGACAGCTCCACTCTGTGCGCTCCTCCGGACCTCTTGTCCAAAAACTCTGCCTCAGCTTTTAATGTCAATACTTCCAGTCTGACTCTCTGCTTCACAAGTCTGGAAGAAGTCTAAAGAGCCGGTGACGGAGAGATCCGCGACTGACTGTGTGCTCAATATGTACCAGGGGCATTTACAGGTAAGGCAGAATCTTTTTTTGTTGTCCATTGTCCATGAGAGAGCTGTTTTTAGTTGTGATGGAGCACATGAACCGATGTGAACAGGGCGCGCTTTTACATGCAGCCTAGTTCATGTCAAGGGCATTTTTACACAAGGGATATGAGGCAATCACGGTTGGTCCGAGGCAAAAAGAGATTTCTGCGACCAACTAACTGTAAGTTGACAACAAAGACATGCGTGGTGTTATTAAGAATTAAGACACATGTGCTCATTTTCACCTTTTCCTTAACTGACGTTTGCTTTAATCAATTAGCCTACAGCTGAAAATACAGCCGGTCTTTGAGATTTGAGGCAAATTGCTTAAATTGATGGGAACGAATGACCAAGGAGCTGTAAATTCACCTACTCTACTGTAGTCAGCTATAACCTGCATTATTTACAATATTCATTGAGAAAACAGAGCTAGTGTAGCGCGCCTATTGCACGTGCAGGCGCGTGACAGATGTAAACAGGAGGTGAGCCTGCACGGTTTTTAAGCAGAGCAGCCTCGACACTGGGAACAACAAATCATTAGTTTCTTAACGTGCACGCTTATGCTCACGTGACGTCACGCAATCTGACGTCACTTTTCAAACAGCAAACTACAGTACTGACGATATACTTTGTATTACATAACCAAAGAGACTGAAACTCACCTCACCAGAAATTGGGACTAGAAGGCACAAAATGATCATAAACATTGCTGGAATAATGAACAGCTTCGTCAAGGCCTCACTTATTTTCCTTCTTTAGAAATCAAGAAGACTACCTTGTGCTCTCTAGAGCTTCCAACACTTCATGTTTGATGCACAGTAGAATCACACATTGTCATTTGAATACAATAAGCTCATGGAGCTAAACAATTCCTCAGTGGTAAATGACAGCCTCTCCTCAATTTTAGATGCACAGATTGAAATTAATACTGTTGGTTGACAGAGATAGCCTACTTCGGGTCCCAGACAGTTGATTATGTAATAAAAGACTAGTCCTGACTCAGTACTCGGGAGTATTAAACACCAACATTTAATATTTCATGATATATTGCTCAAGCAGCAGTATTCATTGAAAATGCATGAAAAGGCGGTCAGCACTTCTTGTCTGGGTTAACCCAGCTGTGTTTGTTAAGGGTCAGTGAAAAGACTGTGAGTTATGGTATGTAAAAGACATCACAAACATGTATTTCATTTCATCCCACGCCTCAGTTCTCTCACACTTTATATGTTTCTTGTCACATGCATGCAATTCATAATCTTGTTTAGACTCTTTCTCAACCATTAGATGTGGGCTAATTTAGCAGCAAATGACCAGTGAATCCACAGCAGAGGCTCTATCTGTATTGGATCTTTCGCCATGACGCTCGCTTGCGTAAGTGATGCATTTATCTTGATGTTGACAACACTTGTTCCTTGAAGTCAGTGGGGGTGCATCTGAAATCAGAGCTACTTTAATTTGTGAGTAATACAGCCAGACCTTTGTCAGGGAGAGAATGAAAATAACGTATTGCCTGTGTGGGGGAATGGGCGGGGTTTGGTATATCATGACAGCTACAGGCAAGCATAAAACATTTCTAAAAATGTTCTAAAAAAATTCTGGCAGTGGTTGACCAACATGGAACTCTTTCTTTTAAAACGAAATGCTCAGAATCACAGGTCATAATTTACATTAAATTGTGCAAAAGTTGCATTTTAAAAAGACAAATTTAGGTGAGGGTGCATGCTTTAAGAAAAAGTGGAACATAAATGTGAGCTTTTTCATATCTTGCAGATTTATTGAAGTCACAGTATATATTGCTTTAAACATAGTAAACAAATTACATGAATGTTGAGCTTACATAATTCACTGTCAACGTGGCTTCTGAATGCATGCTTGGGGCATAAATCATTGAGACCTGTGTGTCTCCATAGCTTGGAATTTTAAATGAAGATCATACTGTACACACTTCTTGATGTAACAGCAATGCAGCATCAGTCAGTCAGAGCTATCAGATTTCCTTCCTCATAGCAGATACACTTGTAAGTCCTTCTTTATAACACGATTGTCAGTGAGAAAGATATGTCAGCTTATGGTGTTGTAGCTCAGGAGGCAGTTGGCTGTGGGAACAAGATAAGGATGTTGTAACTTTTCCCTTTTCATTGTATATTTCATTTGTTGACCTTCTCATTTCCCTTCTGATCTGGTGCATCCATATGTGTGAGTTAATGTGGCAGTGTAATCCATGGAGCGTAAGGTATTTCCATAGACACCGTAACATGTTTGTATAATTGCTATGGATCTGAACCAGATGATACAATATTGGGTGGATCAAATATTTTGGATGGAGTTTCACAGACAACGCCAAATCTTGTCCTCATGGTTGGTTGATTGTGCTCTGCATGGGTAATATCTGATTTTGGTATGACCAGTGCTGCTTGGCAGATATATAATGTTGGACTCTATGTCCCAAAAGCATTATAAACATGTTAATAAAATTATTGTCAGCATCCTGCAGAAGTTACCAATTTGTGTGTGGTTCCATTTTTTTGTGAGCAGTGTATCAAGTGTTGGAAAAGATTCATTGCAGTTGAACAAGAAGTGATTTAGAGGTGTGGATGTCAGCCTCATTGCTCTTTCTGTGGAGGTGCAGCTGAAGATGCTGCAGGGCAAGCTGATTCAGCACAGCTACTCATCTTTATCAAAACAAAAAAACAGAAGAGTTATTGTTTCAGTCAATGTACTGTATATTTCTGCTTTGATGTACAACCCATTACAAAGACCTTGAGATTGTCTCCATCCATTCTCCCTCAGATGGCTCTTTCCCATAACATTTTTACGTTATAGATTGCAGTGTAATTGCTGTAGTGGTTTCCCTACGTTGGCATTCATGTTTACAGTGAATCTAATCACGGGAGTGCTTGTTCTGTGTGTATAAATTGCATCATGGCTTAATGGAAGTGATGCATTTTATGCCTTTGGATATTAGCTCTGTTAAGCACAACATGATTACATAATTTGATTACCATATTCCAAGTCCCCCAGGGGGAGACTTGGATGGATGCTATCGTTGATCAAAAGTAGATCAAGTCTCTTAAGATCACAGTCGTTCACACTATATTTTCAATAAGCTCCGGATTTGTTTATACACTTTGGTTTGCTGACTGAAATATTTGTTTAGAGGTTGTCCTCCAGCACTCTGCAATAATCAGTAGGCCACTGATACAATCTAAAATTCAATGAGTTGCTCAGAATCAGTTTTGTTTATTTGCATTTCTTGCATCACTTTGTGTTTTTGGTTTCTCCTCACTGTAGCCAAGACTTTCTCTAAAGGGACACCAAGTCACGGGGGGCTGGAGCCAATCCCAGCTGACATTGGGCAAAAAGCAGGGTACACCCTGGACAGGTCGCCAATCCATCGCAGGGCCACACATAGACAAACAACCAGTCACACTCACACCTAAGGACAATTTTAGGGTCACCAATCAACCGGAGGAGGAAGCCGGAGCACCTGGAGAGAACCCACGCAGACACAGGGATAACATGTAAACTCCACACAGAAAGGCAAGGACGACTAGGGGTTCGAATTCAGGACCTTCTAGCTGTGAGGCAACAGTGCTATCCATTAGGCCACTGTGCTGCCCACAATCAGATGTGTTTTATGAATTGCAAAATACAAGTCCTAATGATTTAACTTAATTTCAACCAATGCTAAAAGAAAAATGAGGCAGTGTTTAATGGGGGAAAACCTCTGGAATACATGTTGCAGAATAATCAGCCAACAAACACAGTAAAAACACATCAGAGCAGTCAAATCAATCAGTTGACGTACAGGTCAACAGGACATCACAGCACCAGCAGGAGTCTATGCAAGCATGCACCTCACACTACAATGCAAGCACTCATCAATTATCATCTGCACAGTCCATCAGACCATCATTCATGGACCTTGACCTCTGGTTGAAGTCCTCCTATTATACACTATTGCATAGAGGCTTCCGTGGTGGTCAGCTACAGGCATGACAAAGGGGTCCTAAACGCTTTTTCCACTGAGACAGTTTTAAAGTTCCCTTGATTTAATGAACCATGGTCTTGATTAAGAGTGATTTAATAGGCCTGACTATTTCAGGAGCCAGGATAATGAGTGAAATCAGGTGGTATCCGGCTGGAACGAAAGCTCCACAGACAGCACTGCTCTCCTTGTTGGAGATTTGTGGTGGGGCAGGAAGCTAAATTTGTATAAGAAACATAGTCCACAGCTGTTCATTTAGAGTATTTTGGTGCCTAGTTTCAGGAAATGGTGAGAAATGAGCACTTCTTAAAATGCCAAATAGAGAAAAATATATATTTCCACACAAAAGGATAATTAGAAGGAGAGGAGCAGACTAGAAAAACCCGTACAAAAACTGTTGTGTTCTGAAACCAGCGTTAGGGTTACCGTCTCCTTCACAATTAGTCAATTACTGTGTGTAGTTTACAAGTGTGACATTATTCGTGAGCAGAAAGAGACACTTTCACTGTTTGAGAGCGGCTGTGCAGTGGATTTTTGAAAAGCACAGCACCATCAAGGATTTGCACCATGCTTACCAAGGTGGCGAGCATCCAGTCCTCAGTCACTGGTGACAGTGGGAGGGGGGGGGGCTCTCTCCTTCTCCCTGGTTGAGTAGTTACAGCTGTATAGGGGCCCTGAGCAGCTTGTAGAGCTTGTAAAGCAGACTAGAGGGAGACTAAGAGGGATTCAGGCATACATCAGCAGCAGTTGTTCCAAAAGCTGATTGAGGAGAAAGGGGATGTTGTGTTTGCTGACATAGCATCGGAATTTGGTCATTTTGCCATTTTGTCATTCACTGTCATCTGTGCTCTCCTAACTCCCACCCACCCATCCTACAAAATTATTAAAAATTTAATAAATGTGAACATTAGTGACAGATGTGGGTGTGAATGATGAAAGGGGATATGAGAGATAGGGATGAAAGGAGTGGACCGAGGAGACAATATTGTCATGGTGCT